GTATACATATTATTACATATTAATAAGCCCTCTGACTGACTATTATTTCATTAACGATAATGAGTAATGGTAATAATAAATTATTAAACTATTGTAGCCAAAACGAGGCCAAGTGGAGCACCTTATTCAAAAATAAAGTACCAAGGAATGAAAATTAAAATCATGTACATTACACCCAAACACCGCAACGCTCGAGTTTCAAACATACGGGTAACTAGCTGTACTGAACTTTCTGAGTAAATTGAGGGAGCAATTGCAAACGATGGTGCTTAGTGAAATTTGATTGGCTAAATCTATCGCAGCCATCTTGGATGGTACACACACACAGTTCTGCATATTTCGAACATCGAATACATTGCGGTTAGCGCTCTAGTATTCTTATTATATCTCTATGGGCCCGCCACAGTATAAGTAACACGCGAGAGGGTGCCTCAGTTCAAGTCTAAGACCAAAACGCGAGAAAACATGTGATTCGGCGAATCCAAAATGGCCGTGCCCGTGACAACAACGCAGTAAAGTTCGGGAGGCAAAAAACGATTACTTGAGGTGAGGTTTGGGTCCAAAGTTTTTTGGTTGTCCCACGGACAAGTTGCCCTATAGTTCTGGTTGTCCGTGGTACATTTTAGTTGGCTGGGACAAGCGGACAAGCCTTATTTCGAACACTGTGTAAGTCAAACTATAAAAATAAAATAATAACAATGACAATAATAACAATAATAATGATATAATAATACCAAAACAATTAGTTATAACAAAAATAACATTATCAATAACAACAATAATGACACAGTAATAATTAAATCCACTTACACAGGATACCATCTGTGTTTGGTTGTAAAAAACATCTGGCTTAAATCAGATATACTGGGTCCTCTCTTCTCCATTGCATAATGATCAAATTGAAGTTTATTCTTCAGTATACTCTCAGTAGAGTGCTGGATTAAAAATTAAAAAAATTAGCACATGAAATTGAAAAAAATTCAAGACTTCAATTACCATAAAAATCCTAAATTGATTACCAGCCAATTTAAAGTTCTATATAAAAGACAAGAAAGCATTATTTACATGTCTGTTACTAACGGGAACATTTTTTTCTACTAATTCAGATTTATAAATAATTGTACGTTTTGCCTAAATTCTAACAATGAAAATCCGAAATAGTTGAATAGATAAGAAATCTAAAATAAAATGGAAAAGAATAAAGAAAATGGAATGAGGAGGTGATTGAGATAAAAACTTGATTGACATTTTAATAATTACACAATTTATATAAAAAAATAAAATAAAAATTAACCTGTTATTATTTTGATAAATTTCTGATTGTTGATATGATTGCTCAAAGCTTTTCACTCATTTTTTATCATCTTTTCTTTTAATTCTGATCCGGCTTTTGCTCTTAATTTAAAGCGCATAGAGGTTAATAGCATTCTGCACTACATAAAAATAAAGTTATTATCATTTATTAATATGAAAACCTACTTATTTTCATTACCATGACCTCTTTACATTTTCTTAGTGCTTTGTATCCAATGGAAAAGGTGCTTTAGCAAATGATTTTACCATACCATACCATTATACAAATTAAGCAAAACACCCCTAGTTCCTTAACACATATAAACAATAAAATAAATTATTGTATGATAAACATTTATTATTTGTATATTTATTATGATTTTGACTTCATTATTTGTATAATATTGTATGATTTTGACTCACCAGTGTGTCAGGCTTCACTGGGTCTTTCCGTATAATTGGCTTAAATGATAAAATATATAAAGAACATAAACTTTATTTCCAATATTGCAAATGCATGTTGTATTAATTCTTAATGCTAAAATAATGAAATGAAAGACAAAAATAATTGATGAGTGGTTACAACTTTGGTAAAATGCAAATGTATATGAAAAAACACATACATTACAAAATAAAATACGGTGAAAATCCTATATACTGTAGAGTTAATAAATTTCATGGTTTTAACTTGGCCAATATATACAGTAACATCTCCAAATTGCACACCCCTCTGTCTGAACATAGTTTGTAATCGAGAAAAGTTGTAATTCAGATTGTTCAAATCTTTATAGCATATCAGTTGTGAGGGTAGGCCTCGTAATGCTACATAGAACAGGGAAAGGTAGGCTGAAGCCTTGCCATGGTTGCAACTTTTGTCATGAAATGGCTTGGATTATAATTTTTTTTGCAACAAAGTGCACAGAAGCCAAATATCTGCGCTTATTATTGTGTTGGAAAAAACGGTATGCATTTGGGAGATGTTTACTGTACTGTACTGAATGAATGCTAGTCAAGTAGCTCGTTTGTAAAGTCTCCCCCTACAATGTCGCTATTAACTACCTTAACTTTCGAACCTGATTTAGAACTTATCTAGGCGTAGTAGAGATCTAGCAATCTAGGTCGATAATTTGTACAAAGGTTTGAGTGTAAACCTAACGATATTTTCTTTCTTGCAGTGCCCAAAAGTGAAAAGTCAAGTGTACAGTACATAGTTTTTCTTTTGCTTTTATATCTTATGTTTGCTGTAGGAGTTTAAGGACACAGGCTCTTGGAAGACCAATCTTTGTAAAAAGTCTGAAAAGAATTTCCATGAATAAATGAACTGTTATTATTATTATTAGTTATATTTATTTCTGAATTATTTATAATAAAGACCTACTGTATGCGTGTTGTTACGGTATTGATTTAATTTGTTAAATCAAATATACTTTCATATCTGAATTTAAAAATATACACGTTCCACTGCCATCACATGTGTTTGCGCACAAAAAAAGTGTTTCTTTTCGACTCGTTTTATAGTTAGTTTATGTATTTAATGTTATTAAAACTATATTTTACTATATTTTCATTTATTTGTGTATTTTATAAACATGATCAGCAGATAGCAGACGATTGGAAGTTAATGGTTACATGTATGAAGTAGGTGAACACACGTGACATAGGCCTACTTTCTCTGCCGTAGGTTGCACCTAAAAAATAGCTATTCTATTTTTTAACATCTGACTTTGCCTTTGTGGTAATGCGCCCACATTCCTGAAGGCGGCGTACAAAGAATGTATCTGCTTACCTTCGCTACGCTCACGCTAGTGTCAAACCTTCTTTCGCCAAAATGGTGAAAAGTTTTTAATTTTTTTTCGCCAAATTGAAAATGCTTTAGCCAAATAAAAAAAAAAAATTCACAAAAACGGTTCCGTAAATGAATTTCTTGCTTATTTGTCTTATTCATTTGTAACCAGTAGTTAAGGCGGTAATAATGTGAATGATTGAAGAAACAAAAAAAAAAAACGATCGTTTACGATATGTGGGACTGACGGCTACCGGACCTGCTCTAGGCCTAGGCCTAGTGCTTCGCTAGGGCCTAATTCAAATTGGGAGTAGAGAGTGCCTCACTTCTTGGCATTACAAGCGACTGCTATTTCAAGTACTGTACTGTTTTGTACAGTACAGTAGGCCCTACCGTACCTGGTGTTTTGCTCTACAGCATATCGAATGTAATAATCAATAAAATTGATGCTTTATTGACATGCATTTTCGGTCTTGTGTACTCTTCTCTAAACACAACACATTTTTGTAGTCACGATGAACTTTCCTGAGAGCAGAGACCAAGTCTCCGAAACCCTGCCCGCCAATTGGTTAATATTTTTTTTCGGGGGTGCGGTGGTGCCGTGCACACATGTGCTTCAATTGGGATGACATCAGATCGCCCAAATTTTCATAGTGCGTGAAACAGGAACAAGCGCAGTGTCAACACATTTTTGTCGTCACGATGAACTTTCCTGAGAGCAGAGACCGCGTCTCCAAAACCCTGCCCGCCAATTGGTTAATATTTTTTTTGGGGGGTGCCGTGGTGCCGTGCACACATGTGCTTCGAATGGGATGACGTCAGATCGCCCAAAGTTTCATATTGCATGAGACAGGAACAAGCTCAGTGTAAAACGATGAAGATTTAATTAACAGATTTATTTAAATGAGTAAAGAAACCCTAATGGTTTTATTTTAGAGATAAATTTAAATAAATCTAACAAATTTAAATTTCATTCTTTACAAAATTGGGATGACGTCAGATCGCCCAAAGTCTCATAGTGCGTGAGACAGGAACAAGCTCAGTGTAAAACGATGAAGATTTAATTAACAGATTTATTATGAGTAAAGAAACCCTAATGGTTTTATTTTAGAGATAAATTTAAATAAATCTAACAAATTTAAATTTCATTCTCTACAAATTTCCTCCTTAATCAGGGGCGGCGTGAGAGTCTCCAATAACCTAGCCCCACCATGGTTGGGGCTGAGGTTAGAAAATTTTGTAAAATTTACACGTCTAGATATTAGGAAAGTTCTTTATTTCGTTAATTTTTTTTCATTCATCACTTTGCTGAGGGCAGAGACTGCGCCTCCGAAACCCTGCCTGCCAATTGGTTAATTTTGTTTTCAGGGGTGTGGCAGTGGTGTGCAAACATGTGCTTCGATGACGTCAGATCGCCAAAAGTTTTATAGCGCATGACACCCTTTGATGACACAAGGAACAAGCTCAGTGTAAGATGATGAAGATTTAATTAAAAAGATTTATTTAAACAAACAAGAAACCCTAATGGTGTTATTTTAGAGATAAATATAAATAAATCTAACAAATTTAAATTTCATTCTCTACGAATTTCCTCCGTAATCAGGGGCGGCAGAAGCATGTATTTATTGGTACGGTGTGAGAGTCAAAAACCTCAACTCCACCATGGTTGGGGCTGAGGTTAAAAAATTTTGTAAAATTTACACGTCTAGATGCTTGGAAATAGCACTCAAGTTTTTAAAATGCCAGGCTACTGAAAAGTATCACCGTGGTGGAAGGTTTAACTTCAATTTTGTTTAACATACTGTCGTATCATTTTAATCAATTTATTATAATCTCCATGGCATGGCATGGCATGGCAGTTCGTTTTCTCTGCATCTGGTACAACTATGTTTGTTGTTTTGTTGATGGTTAACTGATCGTCTGGTTTAAGAAGTTGATTTTTGTGTTTGGACCGAATATTATGTTCCAAATTAGGAGAGATTCGGATTTTCGGAATACAATACATGTATTATTTTAAGTAGTATAAAAACCATGTTTTAAATAACGGAATCGCTGAAGAAATATCGTTTTAGCGTTCTTTCTTAGAGTTGGAACGATAGTTTTAGGTGTCATGTGCAGGCAATATCAGAATGTTTGCTTCAAAACTGCCCATGCGTGTCCATACAAATACCCAGAACTATTTATCTACCTGGGATTTTCCACATGAACTTGACAGTGTCTGTAAATCTATACTGAACATGCAGTAAAAATAAGGTTGCTTTATAGGGAGGTGATATCTCCGCTGCTCGCGATAACTTAAAAAGAGACAAGCCGAGCCGAGCCTAGCCTCACAAGTTTGCTTTAAAATAGGATGTTGCATTAGGGAATAGCACTATAGAGGCGGTAGGTCCTTATTTTTTAATGATTTGTTGTCAAAATAGAGGTGATAACTGATATCAGAGATAAAGCGCCTTTTGGCGAACGATGCAAATTTTTTCTTCGCCAAATGGTATCTCAATTCGCCGTTGGCAAATTGGTGAATGGTGCGTGAGCGTAGCCTCCTCAAGAGTAACATGACCTTGTTTGGTTGTGGGAATGTTTCTTTCCAATTTTTTACTGTTAGTTACCAGGAACTACAGTTAATAGGCCTCGAAGTAGTGAATTTTTCCAGCTTTGAAAAGAAGCCCGACCATGATACGGCCATCAACATGCACGTAGGCCTACTTATAAATTAAAAACTATAATTTTTGTACTGTAACATTTTATATTATTAATTGTGAAGAATTTTAAATACAATTTTAAGTGTTTCTGTAATTAAAAATGATTGTTCGTAATAACATCATTACCGCAAGTTGAGTTTTTAACTTGGCCAATACATTGCCAATACACAGTTTATATTTTCTTCTATATACAACCTTCAGGTTATGTAAATTTAGAATATTATGTAAACATATCATATAATTAGCAATTTATTATAATTATTATTACGGTAGTAGCATGGGGGTTAAGATGTTTCACACATTACTTGGGGGATGTTTATTAAACCATCAGATTGTATATTTTGATCATACTTTAGGCTACAATATTTTCAGTTTCTTCAAATGAAAACAGTAGCCACAAAATACCTTTGTGTGTTCGTAAGGAAAATCATCTGCAGGATGATAACATACAATCATCGAGCCGTCTGAGGTGTCTGTCCACTGTGACCTACAAGACAATAGGCATTTTTCGTTTTGACTACGCGGCCAGTCTACTACGGACTAATAGAGCGTAACAGACATCTGCGCATGCTCACAAACCTTACTGGCAAAATCGGCGTTGTGACAGCTTCCGCGACAACCCTAATTTCTGAATTTGGCGTAGTGGCGACTACCATAATATTGACCAATCAGATCACTGGATTGTTTGGCAAACTGCTGGTAACTTTTTTGTTGGGGTTGCAATTTTCATCGCATCCGCGATCAGCATTGTTCGTTTAATAATGAATTAATTATTAAAACAAGTGAGCAGCGAAACATCACTCAGTGTTTTCTGGAAACTTTTTATTTTGTATACAGTATTTGACGAAAGTTTTTTCTCGCATTTCCTTTTACAAATATAAAACAAGGGAACATTGTTCTCTGGTAATAAAACCATGGTCGACTAACTCCCCTCCGTAGGCCTAGGCCTATGTACGTGTGCTGCGTCGTCGTAGTCGCCTTAAAAAAACGAAACAGCTCTTGGTGTAGTACGCGAACAGAGTCTTGGCGTTGCCGTCACGGTCCATTAGTTCGTAGTAGACTGGCAGCGTAGTCAAAACGAAAAATGCCTAATATCAATTGACAATAACTTTGTCTTATGAAAATCAAGATTATATAAAGAATAATTGCTTAATGAAACAATATGTATGCTAATAAACTTATAGTATAGAATATAGAGGTAGCTGAGTAGTAGCAGTAGTTAGTAGTGTCACAAAATCAGTTGGTAGTTTTTGACTAACAACACTGTTAGGGAAAAACAGTGCTGCCAACTGATTTTTATTTACAATATAAATATGTTGGTGTCTATTTTTCAACAAAACCGTGATTAAAACAATACAAATAAATTCTGGCAGTTTAACAAAGTGAATGTATGACATACAAATCTATGAAGTATTTTGATGATTTGTTATAATATAAACTATAACTCTGCTTTAAACTCAGTTTTCCTCCTAACAGGCCTCACAATCTAAAGTGTAATTTAAAACATGAAGGAAAAGGTTTAATGGTATGAAAATATACTTATTCATTATTAAAAAGTAAATAAAAAAAACCTAGGGATCAATGGTGTCTGCACTAAACAGTTTTCTAAAATTCAAAGCATTGTGTGGACCACTGCTTGTAAATCTCCCTCCCAGTCACTGCATGAATCAGGGGAATTGGAAAAAAAAAAAATTCTGGAAGATCTTGTTAAAATGCGCCTTTTATTAATCTAATTCTATTTTGTTGTGCATTCTGATATCCATTGCCAGTTGACCTCAAGGAGACAAACAGTAGAAAAGGCATGCAAATACAATTTTCGGGTATGGCTCGTATTTTGTTGGCTTGTGGGAGAAGGATTTTTAGGGTGGTTGTACCAGTTACTGATAAAACTCTTACGAGACTTGCAGGAGACTTGGAACCCCTTGAGTCTTTATTTGCACAAAAAAGCACAATACAAAATCCTGCTGTATATAAATGTACGGTACATATGTACTGTACGTATAGGAGCCAAAAATCATGAACACTAACAGTTGAGCAATTACTGTACAGTACCTTGTATCTAACACAATCAATACAATATTGCCTCAGTAGCCATAATTGTATACAATACAACTAGTAAAACTAATATCTATCAAAGATAGGCCTATGAAAGATGATAAGTAATGGAATACCCACTTACTTAAAGTTTTTGCCAGAGGAACCGTTGTGTAGCAACACATGTGAAACTACAGTTATTCCTGAAATGAAATTGACAGAATATTTGTTTAACAAAAACATTAACCCTGGCATAAATACACAGCAGTGATGGATAACCCCCCTCCCACTCCCAAATTTCAAAATGTCCACTTTTTTTCCTCTGACTATAATCCCATTAAAATCATTCTTGCTGTAATTATTACAAAATGCAATTATGTATTGTATTTCATTTGTCAGCTCTTTTAACTATTGTTTTTTTTTTAAACTGTAGTAAAAAATTTGTTAGAAACTGATCAGGCTCCAGTGATTGCAGATTAATCCACTGGGTTTTCTGTAGGCCTACAGATGTAAAGGACATAAAACTTTACTTCTTTAGGTCCCTAAAAACAACAAACAAATGAATGAAAATATGAGGGTGAAAAGATGGGGATTCCCCGTGCAATAATTAGGCCTAGAATTCTGTGTGCACATTTCGAAAAAAAGGGCCAACTTCAGAGCAATCTTTCCCAAAAATCAGCCTATACTATTTCTCAATATACAATCAATAATATATCAGTAATTATGATTCCACACACTAATTTTGCTACTAATGATTTTTCCATGCAAATTTCAGTTGGTTGTTGAGCCAGATAGTATTAAAACAAGTCGTGTGTGAAAAATTAGGCCTAGAATTCCGTCTGCATACTTCGGAAAGTAAGGGCCTTTTTCACACAGTTTGTCAAAAATTAGGCCTTGGCCTACTTATCAATGTTCAACCAATGTACAGTACAGTATAGCACTGCAGTAATTCTGAATTTTAAAAACCTATTTCCTTAATAGTTAGTGACTTACAGGCATATTTAATTTGGTTTAAAAAAAATCTAATCTTATTTTTTTTAAATATATTCTCTGCGCAAACCATTTTTTACAGTCTGGAGGACTGCAGGTATGCACCCGAATTGTCTTGCTTTTAAGAAAACATTCAGTTTCAGAGGCTGACCATATACCTGTGGTCCTTGAATTGCACCTGATCCCATAAGCCTAGCTTTAGGTAGGTACGTTACACTTCATTGTTTTGGTCACTTGTTCAACGGTGGCTGAATTGTCAGGGTGTTTAATTTTTTAAAATCTTTAAAAATGCCTCTAATTAAATCGATGATGTCATACATTAGTATGCAGATTAAAGGTCAAATATAGGTCACACATTGGTTTTGTTTTCATCCATCTTCTATTTTCACTGTAGCTGACATTTGAAATCTATACTCCAATAAAATACACTTTTTTAGCAGTACGGTAAACGTCACTTTCTAAAGATTATTTAAACCATTGTTAGACAGATAAAGTAATTATCTTGACCAAATATGAAGGAATTATATAGACTCCTAAGTGGTTTTTAACAGCTGGGAAATCAGCCACTTATCCACTACCATGGTAGCTATGCAGTATACTGTACACTAAATTATGGCATTGCTCGAGTTTCGTCAATACGCAGTGTTGTTAAAAAAGTGAAAAACATTAGGCCTACATACAATCCTTACAATATGCCATATTTCCGCTTATAAACACATTTTTAAAAATTTATGTAAAATTAACCACTAGCTCAAATTTATTCAAATAAATTTTATTTATATATACTAAAATGTAAGAGAATTATCTGGCATCACTATGTTTGGATCCAACCAAGATGATTTTTGTTTTAACATAGGTCTATGTACAGCTGCCCCATACTCAACTGTAAGGTTTTTTAATTGTGTGGATGGAGAGTTTACACCCTCCTGATTCGATCTGGAGTCTCCCAAAATTTCTTGGTTTCCCAAATTTGTTCAAGTTCTGCCAAATTTCAAAAACTAGGCCCTAGGCCTACATTGGATGTAGAACCACCTCATTTAGCATATGGCCTGTAAAAAAACATGGGATTCGCACTGTAAAATTGATGAAATTACTAGGCCACATGAATGAAAAACCCAAAACCTTATAAATTACATTTTACCAGAGGTGGATCCAGAACCACCATCTTGTCCAAAAAAGGTTTGCAGATCTATTAAATAGATTACAATGCTTTTTACAAAATTAAAATATCTCAACCCAATCCAGAAAAATCGGATATTAAAGATTGACATTAGGCCTCTGTTTTTAGAAAAGTGACTAATGGAAATGTATATAAAGGTTAAAGGTCAAGTGGGACACTGGCTTCTTGTTTTTAATGAAATTGGACACACTTTATGCCATAACTCAGTCAATAGGCCAAATCATTCGGAGAAAATTGACAACATGTATGATTGGAGTATGGTGATGGAGATGAGTTTGGGAAAAGAAAATAAAATATAAAAATTAATACCTAATTAGCATAATTAATTACTTTACAGCACTAAAGTTCATGATCCACAAAATATGTAATACTGGTACTAAAAACACTTTAAATGGCTTAAAATAGATTTCTGTCCTCAATTTACTTTAATACCGCAGAAACTGGACAAATAAGTAATTAAGTAGGACTAATTAAGCTAATTAGATACTAATAAATTAGGCTATCATACAGTAATTCATTTGATACATCACTTTCGAAAGAGGCAGAAGCTGTGTGACAACGCCATAATCAGGTAAGCAAAGGCTTCTTTAATGGGTGATGCACTGTAAATAAAGCCTGTTAATGTCATTAATTAGTTAATTAATAATTGATTAAGTGAATAATTAAACTAAATTTGTAAATAATTAACCATTTAACCCTCCTCTCTAAAAGTTTTTACCTGTACATGCAGACCTATACTGAAACTTTCTGGGTGGGTGGATAGATACAAATAGCCCTTCAATTATAATTTAATTTACTATTTTGACGCTTGAAAATATGTTTAATTGGCTTAAAAATTAGTAATACTAATAAACAAACCTAGGTAGCTTACATAACCTTATCTCAAGGCTGTAATAACACGCTGAGCGCGCCCCACGTCCGCGACTTGAGCGTCTGTAATCATGGCCTAAGCTGTGTACACTAATACAACAGGGATGGCCCTAAAACTTTGTTAAATCCGACGGAGTAAAATCAAGTTTAAATAAATAGTTATATTAAATTAAATCTATGATAGTTCTTCTTATTTGGGATATTGTCAGATTTTAGTGAAAATATTTTGAAAGTGAAAATAAATTACATTGAAATCTTCAACAACCGCAGGCCGTTTCTGATCCACTCAACCTATAAATTTGCTGAATACGTCATGAAAATTGGTAAAAAGTTGTCTACACGATCACAGTGAAGATTGTTGGAAACCAATAAGAAGCAAGCATGTTGAATCGATCTGTTATGAAAAAAGCGACCAGTTCACAACATCGGCACTTATCAGCAGGTCCGATGGTGGAGTCCCAAATTCTACTTGCTTTCATTTAATAACTAGTGAACGGATTTTAACGGGGTAAATTGCAAACGAAAGTCGGGATAAAAAGCGATCTAATGGTGTTTATTACATTATGATACATGAAATATCAGCCGAGTAATGAATATTTACGAATAGGAACCCTGCTCCTGCAATGTTGTTTTCGGCGCGTGACTTTGTTTTCACATCGTTTACGCGAGCGCCTGAAATGCCTAACAACATTCTCAATTGTGCATGCGTATAGATTTTTTTTATTTGATTCGCGCGAATAAATTCAACTAGTGGAAAAAGGCCTATAATGCTATAAGAATTTTTCGATGATGAATGCGCTTTTCACTAAATGGTGGGAATGGGGGCGCCCTTCACCTTCAAATTCTCCGGTCTCCCGATTTTTTAGGTCGAGGCCTTAGTGGGGTTGGAACGTCTGCGGATGACATCTAAAAAAACTACCTCAAATTTCCACGGAAAATCGCTGGGTAGTACTAAATTAAGTAGTGTGGTAGTAGTAGTAGGCTAGGCTAGGTATGTTAGAAGAGTGACGTCACACACTGTTATTGTTGTCGCGACGCCGATGTTGATTGTTTTGGTTTTGCATCTTGCATCCAGATTAGAAAAAATCGTATTAAATCGTTTATTGGTTGCATTCGCTAACCTTTGAATTTATTTACAAAGTAAACAGGTCAAAGTTTCTTGCGCTATTTAAAAATATTTTTTTCATTGATCGGTCATGGAGTTACAAGCATCATTTACACATATTTTGTAAGCTCTGTAAATTTTAAAAACCATCCTGTAATTTTAAGAATTATACATTTAATATCTATTCCAAGTATGAATTTGATCTGATGCTTCTCAACAATTTTTTTGATTTTCTCAAATCTTACGACTCTCGAGTCCGATGCATAAAAATGTCCGCTGATCAAAAGATGTGTACATTGGAGGACGATTCAAACGGCATAATTGTTATTAAATTTACACATAAAGTCTATATTACTGATGAATATGTCCAATATAATCATTGCTTAGTATTATATAATAGAATATTTTTAAAGATTTCAATTTATTATAATGATATTTTGCGATTAATATACCCGTGTATAATTGAGAATTACCGTCACGAAATTGCATATGGCGTCTTATTTGGCAATTCTGGCCTGTAATTGGTCTGTATAGATCACTTGACATTGAATTTGAAATCTGATTGGATGACATGTGTTGTTGACAGGAATATGGAGCACAAGCATCCTGGTGTTGCATAGGCCTACATTAATAGTTTTTAAACAATTAAAAATAATAATACCCCTGTAGTAATAATAAATTAGTCAAATAATGCATGTATAGATCAAAGCAATAATAGTACCTAATTAACTTTTTTTTTCAAGGTATACACAATGAGAATTGACAAATTAGTAAAAAGGTCACAAACTTTGTATAACGCCTGTCTGTAGCAAAATTTTCGCCATAATTAAATATTTTAAAAAATCATTAAAAATCAACCATACAACCAAATTTAATTTGGTAAACGTTTTTAATGTTATAACACTTGGTAGAATTTGTGATATCAGTATTGTGGACATCCAATCAAATTTAATTTTTTAACATACCTAGCCTAGCCTACTAGGGGCCTATGTAGTAGGCCCTTACCCTAAATAAAAAGTCTACTTCTACGTCCCTAGGCCTAGGCTACGTCTGTTCTAATAGTACGTTCTGTTTGGCAAAGATCACCTCTGTGATTACACATGAACCGTAAAGAAAATTAATTAACGGAATTAAACTTAATTTAATAATCGGAATTCAATTTACTTTTGAGGCAAATTAATCTTGAGCAAGTCAACAATGTGGACTTCATGTGCATCGCCATGTTTTTAATTGTCGCCCTCTTTTGATTCACAATCCTTACGGGTACGTATGGCACGCCAGAACAGACATAATGAATCCTACAATCAATCGCAAAACGATTAATTCAATCCTACAAATACCTCAAATAAGTATAAAAGAAAATTGAAATTGTAGGGATTATCTAGAGGACTTTCAACAATTTGAATCATAGTCCCACACATGGGACCAACATAATAGAATACAACATGATGCACTTGCCTGGTACCTTGTACCCACAAAGCACTCAGATATCCCACCAGGTATATACCTACAGCAGAGATATATAAACATAATAATTAAAAAAACCGAAAGGTCCACTGATTAATCTCAGATAAGAAAGTATAATACATACTCCAAGTATTGAAATGCATGCCATCGTGTTGGGATTCAATATTTCGACATTAATTATGTCATCATCAGGAATGGATACTTGGACTCGTTCAGGAAATTCGAGGGGGTGGAGGTTTTCCAGAAAAGAAGGGGGTTCGCCAAAAAAGGGGGTTCTCCTGAACCATAACCCCCATCCCCCTGGCTACTGACCTGATAACAATATATTGATAGGTTAGGTATTATGTGAAAACAAAATTTGTGTGTCAACTCGGAATATGTCTGTTCTGGCGCACCATACTTTTCAGTATGTGCAGTACTGTATGTGCCGTGCGACAACATGATAGGAAGCTCTTCGGAATCATAATGTAACTTAAGAATTGTAAGTCTTTAAAAAAAAAAAAAATAGTAGGTTACGAATAAATGAGCTATTGTGATTTGTTGTTAAGTTACTTATAGCAATTTCTGTTTAAATAATTGATATAATTAGGGCCTAGCCTATACCTAGGCTAGGATGGGCTAGGCCTAGGCCTAGCTTGGTTGGGATTATGACCGGTTGAGCCGCCGGTCATTTCTATGGAACGCCAAGCGCGTCTCTCAGTTAATGTAGTGCGTTAATTGCGGCGTATTTCAATTAACTTATTCGTTCTTGGTACTGTTGTTTGGGATGTATTTCAGTTTATTTACGCAATTATTTCAATTTATTTAATACTCGGTTTTTGCACTGATTTATTAAATATTTATTGGGACGTATTTCAATTTATTTACTTGTTCTTTCTATCGTTTTAATTTAAATTTTGTTCAGTCAGCTTGCCAGATAGTAAAAAAAAAAACTCCATACATTCTTATCATTTATTATATATAAGTTTAACAAATAGTACAAAAATAAAAATATATAAATTACAAAACCATAGTAAATACTGTATAATAGCATAGGCCTCACACATTTAAATTTATTGTTTATAGTCATCTGTCTAAATTCAGTCGGCTTGCCAGATAGTAAAAAAAAGGACTCCATACATTCTTATCATTTATTATATATAATGATATATAATAAATATAATTTAATTAAATAGTTTAACAAAATAGTACAAATAACGAATAAGTTAATTGAAATACGCTGCAAACCAAACGTAAAAAATAATCAAGTTATTACATTTTTAATACGATTTTGCATGACTATAAACAATAAATTTAAATGTGTTAGGCCTATGTTATTATACAGTATTTACTATGGTTTTATAATTTATATATTTTTATTTTTTACTATTTGTTAAACTTATATATAATAAATAATTTAATTAAATAATTTAACAAAATAGTACAAATAACGAACAAGTTAATTGAAATACGCCGCAAACCAACCGTAAATAAACACATTTTTAACACAATTATACATCACGAACGGCAATATGAGCAAATCAAAGACTGACAAGACTGTGGGATGAATATGTAGCTGGTATCTGTGGGGTTCATTCACTGATGACATTGGCAAGCCGACTACATTCACTGAAAGACGCACTACATTCACTGAGAGACGCGCTTCGCGTTCCATAGAAATGACAGGCGGCTCAACCGGTCATATCCCCTTGGTTGGTAGGCCTAGCTAGGCTAGGCCTACCGGCCTAAGCCTACAGTAGTATACAAATATTGACTGCTCATGAGGGGAATAGGCCTAGTGAAATGTATTGCCCCTCGGTGATGTGGAGACCCGGAGGGCCGCGAAGGCCCAAGGCAAGGGAAGATACATCAATGAGGGGCTGTTGAAATAATTGATGCGGCAGAATAAAAAAAAAATTTTATTTCCGCATCAATATTTCCCGAATTTTTGATGCGGACGGGAGTGATAATCTTATAAATTTTTCTATTTGCCCTAATGCAGGTTAGCTTGCAATGTTTGTCAAATATTGATAAGACATATTTTTAAATTAAAATTTGTCTTTTAAGTTTTGGTGCTTTTGCTCGGCTTCATCAAAAAGTAATGCTAGGCCTAGGCTAGTCCTCCTTCATTTGAAACGAGCAGCCTCCATATTTCTTTATCGTCTACACGCTGATCCGTGACGCGGTCAGGGGGGCTAATCTCATCGTAAAGGTCGCAGTCCCCTTTACTGTCAGCAGCGCGATTTAGTGGACCTAGAGTTTGCACATCGCGACAGGTCAAAAAAGTACTATTTTTGAGGGGAGTAGTACTTTGTTTCCCCGTCTCTTAACCTATCAAGATGTCTAGAATCTATGTATGAGGGTTTATTTTAGGGAGCTCAGCTTTCGCTTTGTGCAACAACAGGACGCTAGAACAGATTCACAGATGTGTGACCGTCCTACAGTACTCTACGTTCTCTGCACAACATAGATTTGACCAAATTACGTCCTAGAATCCAGGCGACCTTGAGAACTTAACGTTCCCGCATACGCAGATGGCTTTATTTAAAGGGTAGTCATTACGTTGTACACCCTACTGTTATTATGAAATGCCTACGGACGGTAGGTGATGGCTGACAGACAATCGGGCTGGGACGGTGGATATTCGGGACTGTTAGTGTCACAATCTGCAAATACGGCTAAAATATGGTACGTATTCCTAGGTATAGGCCAGGTCTACAACTACTGTAGGCCATAGATAGGCCCAGCTTCACTTGTGCCCACCATACGGTAGACATGGTGTAAAGTAAATGTGTACTGTAAGTATAAAGTTTGTACGAATGATACTGTACAGTATTGCTAACTCAAAGACTAGGCCTAGGCTAGGCTAGCTCAATTTTGCATGGAAAAACGGTAGGAGAATAGGGCTGGTTCCCAGAGTTATACTATGCCTAAGGCTACTTTACTGTAATAATTACCATCAAAATGTGAATTGTATGATCATAAAGACTTTAACAAATTTTAATTCTAGTGGCGAGGAGGCCCTAGAACATTGGTACTAACTGATTGTGTTGCATACGATTTTGTATAGTGTGTGTTGCTATTATTAAATTAAGTTTTGAAAAATGACAGACTAAACAAATTTAAATTTTTTTAAATTCACACAGGACATAGATATCCTTTGTTCGAACATTTTAAAGAAAAAGGTATGTTGATACTGTACGACCCTCCGAAAATATGGCTGAAACGCTATGTTATTTCTATTGGTTAGCTTTGCTGCTCAGCACTGTTTGTCATCGATCGAAGGTGTCTACCACAGAGTGAAAAAGGCGTATTAGTTTTGTGTACAGAGTCATGTAGAGGGGACGTTTATTCAAATATATATCGAGTGCCCGTGAGTAACCCAAGGATTGGATAGTCTAAACCGATCTCCCCCAATATCTTCACCTCTTGATAGGGTTTGCAGCCTGGGCTGGTGTGAGAACTTTCTTCAGTTAGCTGCTTCGACAAGCGTCGGATGATAGACACCCTCTGTATAATCACAAAACTGTACCAAGACGTCTTAAGTCAAGAAAAAGCTTTATGAGCAGTGTTACTCCACTGGAGACAACATCAACACCTTCTGAAGCTCGCACTGCCATGTGAGAAGAAAGGCTGGCTAACCTATACCACAATATTTAGCGATGAAAATACCACCAAAGGAAGACCTCCCGCCTGGATCCGACATAAACTGGCCGAAATGGAAATGTCTCAACAGACTAAGAACTGGGATTGGCCTTTCTAAGGTCACTATGCAGAAATGGGGATATTCAACCAACCCAACTATCTGTGACTGCGGAACTGAGCCCCAGACAATACAACATCTCTTGCAATGCCCAAACCTAGAGGAAACCTGCAACACTGAAGATCTTGCCAGATACAACGTAAAGGCACAGAAGTGTGTCCAGCTATAGCTGGGCCAAGTATAGTACGTGGACACGATAAGAAGTAGTAGTTAGATGCCTACTTCGAGATGCAAATTTCGCATGAAATTCATTTCCTGTAATGTGCAGTACGATTCCGTGAATTACAGTAGACTTTATGGCTCCAACCATGTGCACAGGCTGGACACCATTCACCATTATTCGAGAAAGGTGCATGTGAGAGCAGCACTTTAGAAATTGTACAAAATGGTGGTTGTTGATACATAATTTTATTTCTTCAGAAGTGTCACTAAATAATAGTAGCAAGTACTCACACCGAAGTCTATACCTTTATCAACTGCACTAACGTGACCTCTGTCGTTCCTACAGTATGGGAGAAATTTAGAAAAAATAATACAGTATGGGTGCGTTCGAGCCATACACGCCTATTAAATTCCGTGTATACGACAGGTAAATGCATGTCTTTACACCACGGAGGGTCCCCGCATTCGAGCACAAACTTATCTTGTCTAACCGTGTAAAAATTTACCTCGGAAATACTCGTTTGAGGTCAACGAGGCAATTGTATATCCCATCATGCCACGCAATATTTACGTTTCTAACCACGCTTCACGCACTTGTACTGTACTCCCCTGCGCAAATACTTCAGTTTATTGGTGACCTGTGTCACCGTCAGCTTTCCCCTAAATTTTTCTTCGATCTTTGCAGTTATTTCTTTGTAAATACCGCTGTTTCGGTGGGTGCCATCCAGTTGTCTTTGTATTCTGTCTTCCCCCCACAATCAGAGAAGGTAACGTATCATAGATTCGATCCACACAGACATGTTGAAATGATGAATGATGCTATAACATTAACAACAGGTCAGCGAATGCATTTGTTTTT